ATAAAAACTAAAGCAACCTACACCCAAAGACTGACACCCAAGGAAAAAAATACAAGCAGTAAGTCTCAACATAGGGACAGCCCTTTCATTGTACCTTCAGTAAAGAGAGCTTCTGAAATCAGAATTATTCAGGTATAGTCATCGAGTTTTTCAAGGTCATGAATGCAAACAGAAGGTCTTTATTTCTTTCTGTAGCTCTGTTTGTACTTCTGGTATTTTTCCACACCATGTACCTTTAGGCAATTCTTCTAACCCCAGATACTATTTCTTAAAGGAGTGGGAAACCCTGGGATGAACAGCACAGTAACACTGGATAGCATGGATAACAAAATCTCCTACCTCTGAAAAAGGAACGTGAAAACTCCTTAAAAGCAAAACAGTGGTAAGCTACCAACCTCCTCCCCTCCAAACAAACAAACAAACAAGTCAGGCTTCTGGAAAAGAAACTAAATAGCCTTACAGTGATTACATTAATCCTTCCCATCATCTCAAAGTGAGGCCTAGCCTACTCTAACACACAGTGTGTCTCTGGAAGTTAACTATGATTAGTTACCTATTAAAAGGGTCAGTGTGTTTTTATCTTAGTGAGGTATGCTGCAACCAACTTGAATCCTCAACTGTGTTTCAATAGATTATTCAGTAAGCAAGTGCACAAATTTATAATCAGGTCAGACTGTCTCCTCCATTTCAGCCAGAGCCATTCTATTAACTGGTTAAAAATTACTCACTTGTGACACTTTAGAGGCAAGACTTGTTTTCTCGTAAGGCCATTCTCACTGATCTAAATGGTATCATATCCTTAATATTATTTCCAAAACTATTTGGGTTTTCATTTATGAGATGCAATGAAAGATTTAAATGCCTGCATCTTAAAATTGAGGACACACTTTTTTTTTTTTTTTTAAAAAAAACACAGAGCATATTAAACAAAATTTCTCAATATAGGCATGACTTACACAGTTACAAAATCCAGAGCCAGGAAAGTATTAACCTCTCAACCAGTAGCTACACCAATGTCATTTTATCCTCCTAGCTATGCATCGTGGCATACTCAGACTGCCTTCCATGAACAGGTTTTTCAAGGTCAGAAGTTCTTGCAAAGACTAGAGTAAAATATTAACTAGTTTGTGTTCACATTGTACCCCACTGAATGGACTTAACACAGTCAAACACTTCACAGACATAGAAAACCAAACCTCTATCTTCACAGGACAAACCACCAAGCATACATATACTGCCAATGAGCATTAGAGAGCTTCCTGATGGCATTGGACAACTGCACAGGCTCCTGCCAACTTCCAGAAATGAAAAAACCCCACAACCAACCAACCACCCACCCCACTTCCCAACCCGGACTAACTGAAATAGTCCAGCCTGAATAAGGTTCACAATGGTGAAATGACTATTACAGATAAACATTTTTTTTTCCCTTGTTTAGATGTGGTCCAATCCAACTCAAATAGAGCTTTGCAGGACAGTTTTGCTCAGAGGCTTTCTTGACTCTACATACAATATAAAAACCCCTTCAGTTATAGTTTCGTGGTACTGTCTGCATCTAAACAAACACTAAATAAGTGGAATAAATTGTGTGGAAATGAAAGAAAGACCAGAGGAGATGGAACCTAAAAAGCTTGCTTTAGCACCAAAGTCACCAAGTAACATCCTCAGTGCACTTTAGAGGCACATTTGTTATTTTTGTTGACAACAAAGATAATATTCCATAATTTGGTATTTAATTTAATGGGTGCCATTAAATGAGCAAAAAGTCACCACAAAATGGGTGCCATTAGATGTCAATTTGACTGTGCTATGCAGTCTGCAACTGCACTCCTGAGCTGATACAATTTCAGTGGAATTAGAACAGTACTAGTTGCAATTTGCTACCTTTTACCTACCGTATGACATTCCAATAGCTATAGCCAAATTTTACTGAAACAGTGGCACTTCATCTTCAGTGACAGAGCACTCATGGTTAAGCAGTACAATTCTGGCCCGTTGTGTTGCAGAGTGAAAATAAATAATGTAAATTTTTGCACTACATTAAAACCAGGAGTGGATTCATAGTCATTTCTGCTCTAGCACTTACAGCTATGGAGAAATCAATTTTTAATTACAAAGATGTTTTTAATTTATTATTAAAGGCAATTATTAAGCCACAGAAGCATGTTATGGTAGAGTAAAACTGCTACTGTTGTTAGATGGAAACAGTCTGGTCTCAGTCTCAATAAACAAGCAATCAAGTTAAGAACAACCACAGCCACCTCAAGACTACCACAAGGCAAAAGACATAACAAAAATTTGAGTTAAAAGGCTAAACTGCAGCAAAGAAAATTAATACCTTAATATCTGTGGCTTTATTTTAAAATATCTACTTAAAAAACCCCCAAAACCTCTAACCTACCACCACATCAGTGACCACGAGAACAGAATCGCACGTGACAAATAACCCTGCTCTGTTCTCCTACCAGATAACCTTGAGTATATTTCTAACGCGATTTCAAAACAGCCCTACGTGGCGTTCTAATCACACAGACTAAATGCACTGTACATTACTTGCCAAGCTATCTGATGTCTCCAACAGCCAAAAAATTCTGCTGATTTAACACTGGCACAAAAATTACTTCCTTTCTCCCTGCAAAAGCTTCCTTTTCAGGCTAATGCATATTCACAAAACACCTTCACTCAGTGTATGATTTGGATGATATAGAAGCAACACAAGAACTAACCACTTGTACATACAGACTCCTATATACCCTGACCTATCGAACATCAGCATCCAGATTTGCTGTATGATAAACCACTATTACAGCATTTCTTCATTACATTCAACAGAGTGGGTCTTTCCACTAATCTTTGATGTAAATTTCTTGTATCCCACCATTCAGTATAAATCTTTCCAGGCTGCAATAATATTAACAAAATTAATTTAACAGGTCAAGCAGCTTCAATTGTATAAAACTTGATTTTCACACACACTGTTGGGTATTCCAGATTAATTATAAACCCAATAATTAACATCATAGGCAAGATCACAGAAGATCACTCATCTAACTCCCTGCAGAGACTGGTAATACTTTCCTGATGATATACCAAACTCAACAATTAGTCTCAGCCAGTAGGCATAGGGATAATGCTGCGCTTCAAAAAAATCATTAAAGGTACTAATTCTAGGTGAGATTAAATAAAAAGAAAAAAACCCAACTTCCAATTAAGCATGATAAAAGTTTTACTTAAAAAACAAAACCAACAAAAAATCACTTGAAATAAAATCGGAAGAGCAGAACTAGTGCTTAGAACATTAATTAAATTCCACTTTTGAACATCTTATTAAATTTACTATTAGATAGACTGTGTCATGCAAGTGAATAAAAGCTATTTATAACTATCTCTAAGCCACAGCAACTCAGTCATAGAAGCCATTTCCCAGACTATTATTGTTATGCCAAACAGACTACTCTTTCATTTCTTGTCAGTTGTAATTACAGTTCCATAACTGAAATACAGTAAATTACCATGCAGTAACTTTGAAAGATGGTTCACTGAGGTTAAGCTGTCACTACAATTACCGTATAAAAAAAAATGATAATTTAAATGTTCTACTTTTCTTGAAGAGAAAAGAATTAATTCAAGTAGCTCAGATGAGTCAAATGCCTTCATGGTGATGTAAACAAAGAGAAACAACACATTTAAGCAAAGCCAAACAATCTCAAGTAGAAGTCCCAGGCTGCATAAACAAATCAATGTATATAAACTTTTCTAATCACTGAAGAAAGCTGCACATTTAAAAACAATCCTTTAAAAGAACATACTTTATCAGACTTCAGTCATACAGTAGTTACCTGCACCTTCCATACATGCTCCTATTTTGCTCATAACATATATAAATCTTTGGAAACGCCTTTCAAGTTTCAAGCTTAATTTTAATTCAGTTCTATGTTATGTTTTCAGCCACAACCAGTAGGATAACTGCAACTCATCTAACACCAGTGAGGTAAAGGATAGAAGTTAGCATGGACACTTCTAACAAAACTGGGCATACAATTTTGACTTACATTGGTCAAGCACAGTTTGCCTGTAGAAATTTTCTCAAATATTTGACAGAAAAGACACAAATAATTGCCATGGTAAAAATATTATGAGAATATTTATGAGAACTGTGCCCTTACAAAAAAAAAAAAAAAAAAAAAAAAAAAAAAAAAAAACAAAAAAAAAACTTTCTAGAAATTCCTAGCTGCTCTCTCTACAAAGATAACGTCACCACAAAGGACACTTTTTGGAAAACAGTAACAAATATGCACAAGTGAAAACTGTTACTGGTCTGCCCCTCACAGAGACTTCCTGCTGATGCTGGAAGAGGCAATTCCTTCAGTTTTATTTTCTTCCTGTCTGCTTCCAGACACCCAAGCCCTGCTGTTTCCCGTGTGCTGGCACTCATTTGACCGTTCAGTAAACAAGATAAGCTCCATAAATGAAAAGGACACAAAATAAAACAAAAAAACCCCACCCTAGCAGTAAGTAGTTGAAGGAACAAGGTGGGACAATGCAGCCAGGGAACAGGACATGACACAGGGAGCTGAAGGTACGAACAGTGGGCTGCAAAGAATGCAGAGAACTGCTAGAAACATCAAAACTAATGACAACAGCATCACTGGCAAAGCATGCCGGCACTCTTCAGGGCATCCTCGAGGTTTCAGTGATCCCATTTAACCCAAGACAAGCAAATGGTCCCTTGCACTATACTCCCACCTATTCTCTCTCAAAGTTTGCAATGAAGCAAACGTAGTAACTGCTTGAAGACAGGGCCACAACTTCAGCTGTGACAAACAACGTTAAAGTGTATAAAATAAAACTTAATTCTCAGCAGCTAAGAATCTCATAGCCCAAATCTTTACCTATTTATTTTGCTAGGAAACCAGTAGTATCTGAAAGCATCTAGTATATGATATCTGAGAGAGGTATGATTTTTCCCTATAGAGATTAATTGTAATCACTTATTTCACCTCTGTCGCTTTGTCCAGGCTCTGCTGTAGATTGAGCAATTCCTTATCATGTTGCTCTTTAAGTTTATCCATCTCCATGTCATGGCTAGATACTTCTTCTTTTAGTGCTCCTTTTAAAGCTGTAAGCTCTCTCTCTCTCTTTCTCAAAATCTCTTCTTGTTGATCTTTCGCTATTAATACTTCTTGTAGATCCTGCTTCATTTGCATCAGCTCCTAAAGAACAAAATTAAACACAGTTGAATGACAAATAGCTCCAAAGGATGTTCTGTTTGCGTGTCAAAGAAGGAAAGCAGATAAGCTCCCCTCGGCCAACTTCATTTGTATGACCAATACATTGCAACTTTTATAGTAAGTTAAAAATTTACTAAACCCTAAGATTATTATAACATCCAGCTGAAATTTTATTAACAGGTCAACATATCTGATGCTGCAAAACTATGAAAATATTCTGATGGTGTATGTTAAGCTGTCTGTAAATAAACCAGGAGTCAAACATTGAACAACTCCCTCAGTCCTACCTTCTGAAATGAAGAGGTAGACAAGAACAAAGAAAAACCTTTTTTTCCCCTCACACTGCAAGAACAGTGAACCCAATGATAATTCCCTGTTGCCTTTTCTGCTGGAAATAATGAAATTGCTTCTGCAAGTGCTGAAGACAAAACAAGTGCTTCTCAACTGAGTCCATGCCCTTACACCCTTCCTCCTCCCACCTGTTCACCCTAGAAGTCATTTCCCCTCTACAAATTGCTGGGAAAGAAGTGGGTAGTCTGTGAATAAATACACACATGCATGTATACAAACACACAATAAAATGACAGCAACAATCAAAAACCTACAACTTCAAGAATTATCTAATCCGGTATTTCTCAAGCTGTGAATAATTGGACATTCAAGGAGAATGTAAATGTCCCCTGCACTGAAGCAGGATCAGCACATCTAAACCATTCCTGACATACATCACCCTATTCCGTCCTTAAAAACCTACAGTGAAAGGGATTTACTACCAGCCCAGATAGCCATGGTCCACTGTTTAATTACCCATATTGATAGGAAACATTCTCCTAAACTTACTTTAAATCTCTGTGGCCAAGTCTTTCATTTCTTTACTCCCACACAACACAGAAAAATTGATCACTCTCTCCTTTATAGCAACATTACAGAAGATGTGCTTTTGACTTTTCCCTCACTCCTCCAGTCAGATTGAAGGCCTTCTTCACAGGCAGTGTGTGTCTATACTGTCACTATCATTCCAGACATTGCCCTACTTATGCACAGCTTTCAACTGCAGTGCCCAAGATTTACGACAGTCATTTAAGAGAGTAATCAAATCTCACCTACACAAAACAATGCAGTTATTCTACTCCGCACGCCTTGCACACAAGCATCTTTAATATTCCTGAGGTCTATTGTCTATGCTTTTGCTCCCTATTTTGCATTTTAACATTTAGTTTCGGTTTCTTAAGCTAGTTCTTTGCATGAGTATTAAGAGAAGTTCATTGTTTTGGTACTACAAAGTATTAAGATAAATCTGAATTTTAATCACCCTTTTGAACCATTATGCCCTGATACTCTTACACACTCTTATCAACAAATTTAAGCAGTGTTCTCTTTCATCACCAGTATATTTCTATAACCAGTAGACAGAAAACCCATAACTCTCTTGTTCCTCTTCAGGCTCTATCCCCTCTCTTCTCCCCCTGGTCCCATCAACGAGAGTCAACAATTTAAAGACTGCTTTGGTGAGTTCTTTTAATTTCTTAGCTGAACCTCATCTGGCCTTGCTAATACATAACCTCCTTTAAACTGATCTTCCCCATTCTAAACCCTATCTAATTGTTAAAACTGACTGAGATGATTATCTGATAACAGTGGATAACTCAACTGTCCTTCAACCATTATGTTATTTGTTCTCCTATTCTATGAAACAACAGTACTTATACTTTGTATTCCTTTTAGTGTTAACACAGTTACTACAACATGATTTCTTAGGTCACCTCATAATGGCATATTGGTTTGGACTGACAGAATGGGAAGAGCTAAGGCATGCATTTCTTCTACCCGTATCTTTGTTCCCACTTTTCATGAAATTCTTATGATTTTTTTCATCCTTCTGGTAATTTATAACTAACCTCAATCAGAACCTCCTTCTCCCCTTCATCAGTATGTTTTGCATTATCCAGTTCATCATGCATCTCAGACAGCTGGTCTTGAAGATCTCTGATCTCAGTCTGGTGTTGTTCTTGCTCCATCTTCACTTCAAAAAGCCTCACCAGGAAAAATCAGACAGGATATTTTAATTTGTAGAAATAATAACGTGTTCTTTCAAGTACTAAAAAGATAAAGTATCTATTCCCATGTTCCGTGGAAGGGAATGGGATATAATGAGGCAGAAAACCAAAATGACACATGGGTAAAAATGAGAACTCTTAAGTAGATATTTAAGTGGAAAGTTCTATTTTATTTTAAACCTAGTACTATAGTCTTGACTAAAGCATTCAAGTGTTTCCATATTTTAAAGACTCGAACTATGTATTATGACCATGAAATATTAAAAGCAATTCACACTAAGAGGAAGACTATAAATTCAGCAATCTTCCTCTTCCTTCTAGATATTCTAAAACCACGCCTCTTTTAAACAGTAGAAAGTTTCCTACAATAACAAATGTCAGTCTGATTCCATTAACATATTCTGAAGTTTCACACAGGTACTTTTAATCTAAAAGGTTTAAGGAAAGGTACAAATTCCAAAAAATAACTTCTCTAGAATTAACTCACTCCTCTAGGTTTTGCCTGAGTTCCTTCTCACTTTCTTCCAGCTGCTTTTTTAAGGCTTCTTTTTCACATATACTTTCATCAAGCTGCAATTGAAGATCTTTCAGGCTTGCTCGTGTAGCATCTCTTTCTTCTTTGGAATTTTGCTGATTCTGAATTTTGTACACCAAGAGTTAAGCAAGATAATAGTCTACGCATAAATAAGTTAAAGGGTCTTTTCTATTATATGAAAGAAGCCATTTCAAGACTGATATTTTTCACTTGTAGAAGTGCTTATTAATTTATGAATATTAAAAGCTTGGAATGATTATTAAAACGCACAAAGCACTGCTTTTGGATTTTTATTACAAATGTGAGAAGTCTCCTCAATATTATCTAATCGGTCTCAAGTATATTGACTGTTATTACAGACTCAAAAAGCAAACTAAAAGAAGACAAGCTATTCTCATGTCTTCAGAGCATGTCTGTACTTAATGACTTTGAATTCAGCACTGCAAAAATAATGGTGTAATTAATAAACAGCAGCTACATAAGTAATAGAGTTTGTCTCTCATTCCGTGACTGTCTCACCGCAGCCAATACATTAACATTTACCTCTGCAGACAACTAAGAATTTTACATGCATGTGCCTAACATTTTTTTATTCACTGCTCCAAATTCCCTCTTAAATACTAAGAAGAAAGATTTCTTAAAAAGAGTAACTATGCTATGAGCAACCACACTTAAAATAAAAAGTCTTCTGTAAAAGCACAGGTATATCTGGATTAAAAAGAATATGAAGCAAAAGATTCAGTTGGGTGATCAGTTGTAACTTACTTTGAAATGGTCAAAAGCTTTATAACAACAAAGTGCCATACCCTAATTTCTAGATCCAGTTTTTTTTCTAATTCTTCCACTTTCCTTTCAAGTTCTGCTTTTTGTTCCACCAATGCTTTTACTTCAGCCGAAGAATCTGAAACCTACAATTAGAGATGTTTATTCCCACAAAGCCAAGATGTTCTTTGACAATTGTGTTTTAAAATCTGAACTAAAGCTACAAGGCAGGCTAATATGTAGCATCAACTACCTGAGCTCACTAGGGTCAAGCCAAGCTAATATTTTCAAAGGAACCATGATCTGATTTTCATAAAACTTCTTGGTAATTGCTCAAGCCATGCTGCCAGTAATGCAGAAAATATACAAATCTGAAGAAAAATTCAAATTAGGCAATATATGAATTTAATCATCAGTACTTGGGGCCAAATTTGACTGAGATATCACCAGTTACACAAAATGGACATCAAAGATATTCATGTTTATATGTCAAGACAGATTTTCAAACTGGTTTTTGGTAGTTTCTTAAGATGTGTTTTATATTTTCATTTTGACTAATTATAGCCCAGGATATAATAATCATCAAAAGTAAGCATTTAATCCTTCTTATGCCATCACTGCAACAACTGGGCATTTCTTCACTTTGCTTTAGAACTGAAAAAAACAGTGCACCACGTATTAGGAATCAAAAACTTTTCAGCAGGCAGACTGTCAAATGTTGTTATTGTAATATGGCTTTTAAACAATATCCTAGATTACTGCTTTTCTAAATTACAAATTAAAATACTCTCTCCACTTAGGTATCTATTCACATCACTATAATGAGCAGATGCTCCAACATTTTATTTTAAAGTTATGTAGGTTAGCTTTCTCTTCAACCCAGTAACCTTTTGATGTTCACGTTAAGTTTGCATCTCTCTCCTCTAAAACGTAGAAGCTCTCATGATAGACTCCTCTTCATTCTTTTTTAATTGTTAACTAATAGATTTCCCATAAGTGACCTCAGTGCATGACTAAAATGGGGCTATACTACCAAGAGACTAACAGAATAGTCTAATTGAAGTGAGAGGATTCACATTTTTAAAGCCCTGTTTGAACACTGTATCACTGTGAAACAACAACAGCCTTAAAAAATTATTTACCTGCGTCTTTCCAGCAGCTCTTGACTTTAAAGTCTGAATTTTCTCAAAAACCAAGTTGACTTTCCTCTTTGTCGCATCATCATTATCAGCACTTCTAAAACAGACAGTACAAGTGAGCAATGATATGATCGAAGGTACTTGTTAACACCAAAACAAATTCAGTGTCCAAACTACTGAAAATCATCACCATAAAAAAAAAATCTAATATGAACCAGCCAGAAGGTATCTTAATTATGATTTCATCAAACCCTTTAAAGAGAGGCTTTACCAGCTCTTTAATCTGTATTCCAAATGTTTTCTAAAAAGAAGAAAAAGAAAGAAAAAACACTGGACTCTAAGTGCAACTCTCTTCCACAAGTGTACAGCTGTGGAAAGACAGGTATTCAGCATGTATATTATTCAAACATACAGAAATTAGAAGTAATTAGTACTGGGTTTTTCATGTCCTGACTACTGCACCACAAAGTAACAAACACTTCAACAGCTCCCAGAACCTGATACATCAGGAATGCAAAGAAATCTAAGCACATCATGTATATATTAATTCATTTCTCATTCCTTCACCTTTCACTGAGTTACCATTGGAAAATACCCAGTGAAAGAGTTACAGTGGACAAAGGATTAAATACACAGCAACAAGAAAGCCTCTGTCAAACCTTGCCAGATAACGCTTTTTTGTTGTTGTTTAAAAAAATCCACAAGTGTCAACTCCCATGAGATGTGATTTGAATTCTTCATGAATCGCTATATCACATGAAATTTAACTCCAGGAGTATTTAAAAGACAACACCTATTCTGATGCACAAATTTCAAGTACATTTAACCAAATCCTGTGCAATACCTTATGTAAGTCCTGATTGCCTGGGTATTTTGAGATCCTATAATGCCTTAAAGGACACAGCTGAGATACAGAATTATGAAACGGACATTTCATTTAATTATAGCTTTGATTTTACAGTTTCACCCTTTAAATATAATAGAAAATAAACATTAAGAAAATACAGTCTCCTCTTCAAAAGTTAACTGTTTACTAACCCTTCCTTAAGGTAATTGTAAAGTATCTGTTTAGCAGTCTCTTCATTCGTTTGCTGTGCAAGATCTTGCTGGCCTTTTAAGAGATCAGGAGTTGCCTAAAAGGACAAGTAAAATGTCAAAAAATATAAACCTATGAGAGTTGTAAATACAACCTGTAGAACTGAAGTTCACCATTGTATTCTATAATGAAAACATCTACGTACTGTGGACCTAAAGTTCACTAAGATCCCTTGGAGTCTTGGCTTACTGCAAGAAGGAAGGTACTCCACACCAAAAGAAAGAAAACATAATTTTGCATGGAGTTACATGGATTTCAGCATTCTACTTCTGTGCATTTGTGCTTAAGATTCATCATGGCATCATTTACAATAACCTTCTTTGGCCCTGCCATCTTCCTTCACCCGTACAAGAGCATGCTGGTTTACAAACCATGTTCGCTATACCTGCAACTACAGAAATAATTTTTGTATTTACATTTCTCCAGAACAATCCTGCTATCTCATTTGGAAGCCGTGAGATGGGAGTTTGTTCTAACCAAGAGCAGAAAAAATACACGTTTAATAATATGCCAGTTTTAGTATGCTAGACTGTAAAACACAACTTGAAAGAGTAAATGCAAAATTACCTGTGCATTAGGGATGGATGATAATGTTTTTACAGAGCTCATCTTGGCTCCCGAATCAGGCGGAATCGTGATTCGGTTTGGTGGCAGCAACAAGGTAGAAGTTACTGTTCTGACTTCCTCTCTCTTACTCTGTCCTGGGAGCGTAGATGACCGAAATATTAAGCTCTGGGTATCAGCTCCATTTTGTTTATGGTATTGCAAAGAATTGAAATTGCTGCTCTGAGTGTCTTTAACGGGCATTTGCAGTTTTCCAATACTTCGAGCGGAAATCTTAATCTCTTTAGAAGGTGACTTTTGATCTCCGGATAACTGCTTGTGAAGGCAAACCTTAGATGGTCTCAGCAATTGCTCAGTAGACTTACCCAAGCTTTTACTGAACTCATCTAAACAATCCGAATTTACATCGAGCCGTAATGACAAGGCACTATCAACACTTCTTGATCTTTTACGATCATCTGGATGAATTCTATTCCTTTTTCCTGACCTACCTCTTCTGTGAGGATCAACTTTCTTATCAAACTTTTCGATTAGCTGATCTACTCCTGGAAGTGAACCAGTGTCAATATCACGACCAGTTCCAGGCAAAAATGGGATGTATCTTCTGTTTTCATGCCGATTAACATTGTCTGCATAAATCGCATATTCTTGGTCATCAAGTAGAAATCTGTATAAGGAATTTGCAGAAGTGGGAGTAGCTGAGGAGGAGGAGGACCTTCGTGAGTCATCCAGCACTGGCCCAGCTGAATCTTGTCTGCGGAAGGGAAGAACATCTGGTCGAGGTTTTCTTGTCTCTGGATAAACTGTGGGACTAACACATGGGGATCCTCCTGCAGATGAAAACGCTTCTGAAACACACGCTTCGTTGGGGCTGACTGTGCTACTGGGACAATCCAACAGCTGCTTATTTTGGTCTTCTACTTCTACTGACCTGTTCAAATGTATCTTTTTTGAATTTGCTTTGGTTGTCTCTGCAATATATGTATTTGCTTTCTGCAGTGACACTACTTTAGATGAGGAAATCCAAGGCTTTGCTTCAGGTTTTTCATCTGCAAAAGACTTAGATTTACTGCACACAGAAGGTGGGTAATTATCCAAGTTTAAGTTACCTTTTGCAGGATCATAAGGCTGTAAAAGTTCAGGATGTCTTTGAAAGTTCAACAAACTGGAGGACTTCATTGTTCCATCTTTAAAATCTGATATTTCGTTTTCCTTTTCATCCAGATTGGTTATCTTTAGGCTTTTAAGCATACAGGGTTGCATATGCTGCATTCCAGGAAACTTTTTGTGTTCACTGTTTTTGTCTTCCAACTTAAAAGCAGTATTGGAGTCTGTGGCTGGCTTGCTTACAGCCTGAGAAATGACCTGTTGTTCTTTTCCAGGAGGGAGATTTTCTGACAAACATCCTTCTGTATTGTTTAGTACTATGTAAGGATGTCCATCAATTCCTTGGACTCTAATGCTGACACCATAAGATCCCGTCCTAGAATTTTGTGCATTTCTAGTTTTTTGAGTCTCCTCACTTGCAAGTTCAAGAGTGACTTCACAGTCCTGCTGTACGTGCTTAAAACCAGCAATATATGGCTCCATGATTATGAGGATTATAGCTGAATAAAAGAAAATTACAAAAATGTCATTGTTTTAAATACTTTCAATTATTACTGTATTAATAAATTGTATTCATTACTTTATTCCATCATTGAGTGTGTCTATGAAGACTAACAGTAATATGCAGAGAAATCAACAGACAAGCTATACCAAGCATAAAGCAAACGCACTGTGATACAAAGACAAATGTATTCTGGACCAGCGTAATGTTATTTTATGACTGTAAATGTTAAGAAATAACAACGGTTAAGATTACCTACACAGGGATGGTGCTAGTTGCTCTGGAATCGAAGGCTTTCAAACATAAGCAATTATTGTACAATTTTTTGAGTCAAAGCAGTTTTATTTTGGGTATCTCCACTACACTTGCTCAAGAACCCTTCACAAATCAATAATCATTTTATATCCAGCAGTTACTACCAGCCAGATCAGCAATTAAACATGAGCCCAGGAGAGCAAAACATGACCAGGCAGTTTTAAGTTATAAGTTTTAGGTAACTAAAGCACTGCAAGGAAGATCAACATACTTATGCCCTTGAGTTGCACTTTTATGTACCTGGTTTTCAACATTTTTTTCTAAAGACACCTGAAAATAAACTTTTTCATTTATTATCTCACAGTCATCCATAAGAAAAAAACTTTCCTAGAGATTAATTTAACAATCCCTCAATTGTGGGCTTGTTCCAGAAAACTCCAGCTGCTACTTTAAAACAGATACTTTGCTGAGCAACAGAAGTGAAGCAATACTGACAGTATTCCTAGCAGTGATGGTACCTTTTTCAGAAGCAACAGGAATGCTAACTCAAACATTTTTGGCACATATAGGCCGGAGTTCTAGAAAACAATAAATTAAACCATACCTGCATTTTTAATGTTAAACGTTATTCATTCTTTCTGGAAGAGCTGGTTTTGTGGGTAGTTTTGTTTTACTGTCATATTCTGAGCTAACTGTCTAGTTGCAGTGACAGTAAGACCTGTTTCCATAAAACAATGGAACACAAGGCTGTTGGACTGATGCAGAACCTGGAGGGAATGAACTTTTGAACTGAGCTGGAGAGCTGAGTAATCACTGAGGCCTGACAACAGCAAGACCACTACCAAGATCACTAAACAATGGTGAATAATCATCAAGAGGAAACAAACAACAGGATGTCTCATGGAAAAATAAACCTTTGCAGTTTCACTCTCCTGTGTACCTCAGCATGAACCATCTCCCTCAGATATTCTAATCAAATCTTCCTGACAGTGAATTTAAAAGTTTGGCTGGATATCCGTAACATACTAGTTTTCACACAATTCTTCCTTCTAGCAGGACAGCTCCCCTCAAAAACCTCTTCCTCTCCCTATAAACCAGATCCAGCTCCTCCTCAACAGCAGGCTTACTTCATCTGAAGGAATCAGCATATGCTTCTCTAAATACAATGCTAGATATCAACTGATTATTTTAATAAAGGAAAAAACAGACTCACAGTCAAAGTCTTCCTTAGATAGTAAAAGATTTGGTGAACTAGTTAAATTCATCAAAATTAGTTTAGGGGTTAAATTCACTTAGTAAAGGGAAGTAAATAGACACTGTGAATTTGATGTCCATGTAAGACCTCCTGGAATAGGAAGAGAAACAGGACCAGGCAAAAGCAAAGATGAGCCAGAGAAGCTAAGGGACGTGGAAAAACGGAGGAGCAAGAACAATGGAAGGAAACAGCAAGGCCCAATACACTTCATTACCTTGGGCTTCCATTCTGTGCATTTGCCCATGCTTTTTTTCTGAATACTCTTAACATCTCACATCAATTACACTGTTTCCGGGTATAAACTGAGACAAAAATGACAAAAAAAATAGCAGAAGCTGATTTTAATCACCCAGAGTCAATGAGGAGGTCTCCATTGATTTAGTGGGATTTTGACCAGGGCACTGAAATCAGCTTCTGAGCTGCACTGATGGTGGCTGAGAAAGCAAAGGAGAAAAAGAGATAGTACTGTACATAGTTGTCACAGAACATACACCGTGGAGGAACCAGACCACACTAATCTAATGAATGGTTGCTGGGGGGGGGGGAAGAAAACAGCCTCTCCACTCCTCCTTTAAACTGCTGAGCAGATCCAGCTACATTCATCTATGTCTCAAATGAAGTAAACATTTTGAAGCTTTTATGCTTTCCATTTTTATGTTGCTTATGTTATATTACACCATGTTGATCTGGAGTTACTACTATGGGTATGTAACAAAATAATAAAAATTTAAATAATTTCAAGTTTTAGCAAAATAAAAATTATGAAATAAAGTTTCTCAGACTTCTAAATCAAATCTGCATGATTTTCTAGGAAAAAGTGTGAAGATTACATGATTTTGTAACTGAAAATTACTATAAAGAACCTTCAAACAGCCCACGAAAAAAGCAAGAAAATTCTAGATCTTCTAAAGAGCAAGCATTTGAAGTGTTAACATTTTCAGAAAATACAAATTATTCAGAACTCTATAAAAAGAAATCTGGTTTTCAGAATACAGAGTGCTAATACTACTCTGAGTAAGTTAAAATCATTCATGGCATATTTGCATGTCTCCATGTAAGTAAAAAAAAAAAAAAAAAAAAA